CTCAAAATGGTTAATAATTTAACCTATTTTCTGTAATCGTAATTAACTCTTATTAAGTTTTATTAATTTCTTCATCTAATTTTAAAATATATGAACTATTAGATTTAACATAATTCAAGTCCTTGTCAGTACCTGGGAAAATATTAGTATATTCTTCCTCAAAACTTGATGGTTCTAAAAGCCCAATGTCATCTTTCAGTAACATGTTTTGGTTTGATCTGCTCTATCAAAAGAAAAAGAGGCTATATATTAAGATAATCCGAGGAATTGATTATTGTTCTGTCAGGCGCCTATAATATTTGTTGCGTACTTTTTAAGACAACCTGATTGGTTCTCTTGAGGGCTCGACCAAAAAAACTTGGGACCTGTCAGGGCTAAAAAAAAATTAAGACTCTGATCTGGCATCGCAATGGACCTTAATGATCTACGCGTGGCCTTTTTGATGTACTAGCATAACCTAATCTTAAAACAACCTATTAGCAGCACTGACGAAGCTTTTATTTGGAAATCGTATCTCGATTCTTTATATAATTGCTGATATGAGTTACTTAGGATATTAAAACACGTACGAGTAGACAGTTTTCTTACAACTGGTGGAATTTAGGAGTAATTCTACAGGAGTATGAAAGCTTTCTAAAGTACGTAAATAAAATCCTGAGTTTTACAAATAGCTTAACGTTTAAATATAGTCTCTAGCGGTGTTCTCATTATTGGTATTTCCGCTCCTATTTGGTATATCTGTTTGATCCACATGTAGACCCATTTACGAATCATAAAATAAATTTTTTACTTCATTCACAAAAGTTTGTAAAAATTTTAGAGTACAAATGTCATAGCCTCATTTCAGGGTTAGAGTTATCGGTTCCTACGACCCAAAAAACGAAAAACTTGTTATATTTGATTCGTCTTATCTTTTTCATAAGAAAGGCCACTGAAATACAAAAACATATATCCCAATATTTGTTGTCTTTATTGAAATTCTGCACAATATCTAAACCACGAACGTGATATTTTGAAGCTACCAACTTAATTCAATATATAGAATAATTTAGTATAAACATATTAACCTTCATATATAATTTATATGTTTAATCACATTCTTAGTAAAGTTTTAACATTGAGATTAAATAAAAATAAACAAAAAAATTTTGTTTTGGCTATACCGAATCTGTATTACCCTTCATACATATATTAGTATTTACTAACTTAATTTTGTCAGTTATGTATTAAAATTAAAATTTTTAATATAAGTACAAAGAAAATTATTATAAACACAACGTACTTTCAGATAATTATTTTTATGGATGTTAAATAATAGAATCAGCCATATTTCGTATCGGTATTGGTACCGACTTGTTGGTCTATGCATGGCATCTTTTTAGCAAGCAGTTTAATCTATCCTATTTTACATGATAGGCTCCATTAATTTTATTTATAATCAAGTTTCGATTAGTTAAAGAGTGAAGTACAGACATCTAGAGTGTCGACTATAACTAAAACGTTTCATCTCGTAATGTAGATAAAAAATCAGTGTGGTTTATACAGTCTCGTTATCTTCTTCTCTGCTTTATAAATATTTTGACAAAGTTTATGTATAATAATGATAATTCCAAACATTATCGAATCGGGTTGTCTTTATATACTGATCGAAAATCTATACGGCTTGTATGATCTTCGACGTCTTCTTTGTTGGTTACCAAATATCATCACAAAACTTATATACAATAAAGGCAGATAAACGTCATTAATCGGCACGTCTAAATTATTTAAAATTAGCATGAAGATTTAAAATCTATATGGTTTATAAGATCGTCTATATCTTCTGATATCGATTGATCTTAACAAATGCTTTATGCTAATTTTAACTACTTAACAAATGTTTTAACAAAACAATACATCGTTAAGTGATTTGTCTTATCATATTGATTAAAAACATATTCAGTCCATCTATGAAGTCTGGTCTTTGATGTCTTCTTCTATGCTTTATTTAATAGACTGTTAGTGGTATAAAAAAATCTGGAGAAAAATATGTTTTAGTATTGCATTATTTTATTTAAATTTAAAGAGAAATAGAAGTGTGCAACAAAAAATACAATTCTACCTATCCACTATCTAAAGTATAGTTTACAAATATACATATATAGAAAATATATCAATGCATACCCCACAAAACATGAACTAAATTAACTTAAAATGCTACTGTATGAATGTTTAAATACTCGTATCTAATATAAATTACTTAAATCTTATTTGATGGCCTGTTGTACACGATGCAGAAAACGCATAGGACGGAACCAAGGTATGATGTACTTTACCGGTGGCTCGGTAGGTGTTGGAATAGTTGGTTTGGTTTGTCCATCAATGACATTACGAAAGATATTCGAACGCACATTCGAGATAGTATCGACAATATTCTCACCCAAATTGTTTGGTAAAATATTCAAATTATTTCGCTGTAACTGATCCTGAAATATGTCAACCCCTTCTTTGATTCTAGAACGCACAGCTTCAGCAAATTGTTCGCTGCGTGCTGTTTCATGTATTGACCGCAACGTATCCTGCAGCATTTTGGGTATCTTCTCACCAGGACTCTCAAAAGATTCATCATCATCATCACTGTTTCGATTTTTAAAAAGCGGCGCTGGTTTCAATAAATTTTTTGTATTTTCTGCAAACCAGGAGGAGTCTAACTTTTCTGTTGAACGTTTTAGCATTGTTTGATCTTCGCTCGGTTCCGGTTCTGCTGTTTTCTTATGTATACCAATAGGCGCAGGTCTTACCAAAGTGTTTGCAAAATCCTGAAACCAATCTAGTCTACCTACACTGCGTTTTTCTCGCATATTCTTCAACTTCTTCTTGACTATTGACTTCTGTGCGCTGTTGTCGTCTAAGCTGTTCTGAAATGTAGGCTTGTAAATAACAACGGTGGAACGTTTATTGCGTATACTGTCACGATTTTTGGCTTTGCTTTCTGCATTCTGTTCGTACTGTAAGGCGGTACGTACAAACTTATTTGCTGTAGGTCCTTGTATCAGCAGCTCAAATGGTATATTCAACTTGCGCGCATTCTTCTGCATCGTTACTAAACATTCGGTATCGGAATTCTCTTTGTTGCACTCGCAGATACATTCCTCGCCACAGTAGAAGCCAATACACCCACAATGTCCGCAGAGTGCTTTGCAATTGCGTGTATTCTTCTGTTCTTTTTCCTTATCGACTATTGCCATGGCTGATTTTGCAGTCTGCGGCTGTGACTCTGCACTTGTGATGACAACAGTCCATAACGCAAGCAGTCCTACTGTTAATATCCAAAAACGTAAGCTGGTCATTGGTGCAGTGTTGGGCGATGATAAAGACATCTCAAATATATTTCTCAGATAGATTGACTTGATCGTTTCATGAGCTTTAATCTGATTACTGGCTTTGCGGTTAGTGGGTTGATTTTTATATAGAAAAAACTGCTGGTTGTTAAATAATTTTCAGTAATGAATTTTTATATGACAGTTATTCTTTTACTTGTTTTTTGTGGTTTAAAACCGTAGTAAGCTTAGATCTTTTTGTGAATATAATAAAGTCAGCAAAATTCTTCAGAAAGTGCTGAACCAGCAACTTTGCCTGCTATCTGGCAGTGGTTGGTGCTCTTGAAAATTATTATGTGTGTTGTAGGTGCTTTTGTAAACAATAAAGATTTACACGTTCTCATTACGAATTTGTTGCAAAGGTTGAAAATTTGCATAGAGGGACGTGCAAATGCTTAACTAAGTTTATAAAAGTATTTATCGGAGTGTTAGCCAGACACTGACAGTCACTAGTCAGAAACACTAGTGTTTCTATAAAATTATATATGAAACATATTAATGTTTCTTACTATATAAAAACAGAACTATAATCGTTTTCCTTCTTCATAATATTTTATGTGACACTCTCGATTTCTACTGTCCATTTTCAATGTGGTTTGTGTTGTACTTGTAGCATCTTAAGAATAACTCTTGGAAACTCTTAATATGGTTTGATTTTTATGAAGCAGTAGTTAAGTAACATCTACGTTTTCACATTTATTACTACAAGCGTTGGTAATAACATGGGCTTTAACTGCCGGAAACGTTAAAACGTTGGACAACTGGTTATTGAAGAACATAAATGAATAAGATCTGGTTTTACAAAGGAAAATTTTAGCATAATACTAGCTTAAGTCAAGTCAGCAGTGTTGCACACAACATTCATACTTAAGTCACTTTTAAAATATGACAGTAAAATTGGTCTTAAACACTTCTGCATATACTTGGGAGTTATTCATTCACTTTTATAGGAATTGTTTTCAGTTACCATATCACAAGAATGACTAATTTAGAAATCGATGGTGCTAGACGTATACTTGCGGAGAAGGAAGTTATAACTATAAATAATAAACTTTATGATTGATTATACAATTTGAAGTAATTTGGAGAACTCACAAGTAATGATACGTAGTTACTAGATGGCAGATATAATGTTTTGGATACATTATCTTCCAAGTTACTCTTAACACAATTCAAAGCTTTCTTTAAACAAATCGAAAGTGTATGTCTTTCTATTATACATAAATTTTTTCATAATTTTATCGTATTTTGAAATAATATATGTACCTCTTAATTAGACAAAATACAATCTTAGTGACTTCACTATATTTGAAATGATGAATATCTTTGAGGATATAAACACAATTTTGTGGAATTTGATAACCCTTTCATAGTGATTGGAATTCAACTACAGTAGATGTCCTATTATTTTTGAATAATTGTATTTCAAATCTTGTAACATATCATAATCAATTTATAGAGAAGGGAATAATATGCTTCTTATTAGACATTTGCTTCAACTATTTTATATTTATATATTGTGTCTCCTGTCCTTTATAGATTTAAGTATTTCTAATTATTGCTATTTATCTGTATTGACTGCCAAAGTATTGACCAATGTACTGACTTCCATATTCTCCTTTACATAATTCAATTTTTATTCAAAATTTTACATTTTCAGCACATCGAAGTATAAAAAGCAATTATAACAAAATCCATTTAACAAAATAAAATTTTCAATAAAATCAACGTTTCTTATTTTTGCCTTTCTTGCCACCACCACCACCACCGCCTCCAGTCTGCTGTGCCTGTGGTTGATGAAAACTATCGGCAGTTTTATTTTGACGCGACTTCAATTGTGGTATCTTGTCAGTAACATAACGCATTATAGCTTCGCGTGATTCGAATTCGGGGTTGCACAAACTTCCATCATCGTTGCGCATTTGAACACGTATGCGACCGCGAAATTGAACTTCCTAAATGGAATATATTGGAGTAATCATTAATTCTTAATAATAATGTTTAGTATATATGATGTACCCTGCTCTTTTCTCTTGAATATTGTTTATTTTCAACACCAACACGTAAATTAGTTACAGATAGCACATCACGTATTTCAACATACGTTGGATTCTCAACACAATTCTCCTTTGATAAACGTCGACCTTCTTGTCTGGTTTTTTTGCTATTTATATAGGCTGGGTATATGCATATCCAGCTGAAAATGAAAGTTCTTGAATTTGTTGTTGTTATAATTACTGTTAATTTATTTACCGTTCAACGTCGCTATGCTTTTTGTTCGGATGCCAATTCGTGTGCACAGGTAATGATGCTGCCATAATTATTTTAATAATATATTATTTTAGTTATTATTTAAACTAATACTTATTAAATTTCAACCACGGAATGCACTATTTTGACAAATGTCATCTAGATTTGACACGTCGTTGAGCTGTGTTTCATAAAACAAAGCATAAACCAATATCATTGCAACTGTCTAGTGACTGTCAAATTTTGAAATGTGCATGAAAATTGTTATGGAATTTGTACAATATGAAAATAATATAAAATATTTGTTAAAAATATAATACAAATTATCTTTAAAATAGATAAAATAAGCTAATTGAATAAAATTTGTTTTTTATATATCATAAAGTTTCTATACTTTTATTTATTTTCGTTTTTGGTTACTTGAGATTAAACAAATCTTGCATTAGTGTTTTGATATACATATTTATAAATTATTTCATAGAAGTATGAAATAAAACTAAATAATAGTTTTTTTTTATAAAAATATGTAAAAAAAAGTTATAATAACATATTTGATATACATATTACTATTTTTATGTATACCAAAGTTTATGTATGTGTGGGTTTTTACCACATACTTTATTTTAAATAAATATAACAAATGTTTACAAAATGATAAAAACGTTGTGTTACTAAAACGTGCAAAATAGGAAGAAGAAGGAAGCCAGTCGCCAGTTACTGAAGTTAGCTGCTCATTGAAAAATGTTCCTTTTGCCCACAGATGGTGCGAGTGCGTGTACATTCACACACAGAGGGCGCTGCAGTATGTGTGGCGAGTTCGCCACAGTACTCCCCCCTTAATAGCTGGACCGGTGGTCTGGTTTGTTGACTGTTGATTGTAACCTGCTACTCTAAAGGATCTTTCACATTAAAGGTTACTTGCTTCTTCGTTTGCGTGAGTTTTCCTTTCTTTACAGGTCTGCAATCTACGTCGACTTCTGCAAACTTTGGTTCGATTACTGCTGGCTCGAAAAAGGCCGGTTTCAACCTGTTTATTGATATGTTAACCTGCTTACCGCGTACGTCAACTGTAAAAAGTCTATCGTTAATTTTCTTGATTACCTTATGTGGTCCTGTGTATGGGAGCTCTAAAGGTTTCCTTACATGATCTGCCCTTACGAATACATGCGACGCATCGCCCAATGCTTTGTGAACGAATACAGCTTTGCTAGAATGATTGGACGTCGGAATTGGTCGTACTTGCTGGATGTGTTCGCGTAATGTTGCTAGGAATTTTTGTTCGTTCGGAAGCGTGTTATTTTCGACAAAAAATTCTCCCGGTAGACGTAACGTTGTTCCATACAACATTTCAGCTGCTGAAGTGTTGATATCTTCTTTATAGGATGATCGAAGTCCGAGCAAAACTGATGGTAACAATTGTATCCAAGCGTGTTTAGGTCGCGACATAAGAGCTGTTTTTAAAGTGCGATGAAATCGCTCAATTAACCCGTTAGATTCTGGGTGATACGGAGATGTACGTATTCTTTGCGTGCCTAAACGATTTGCTAGCGCCTTGAATAAAGCTGATTCGAACTGGGTTCCTTGATCAGTTGTTATGATTTTCGGAGAACCAAATCGCGATATCCAGTGTGCGTAAAAATTTTCTGCGACTGTATCGGCGGTGATATCTTTCAACGGAACGACTTCTGGCCATCGTGTAAATCTGTCCATCATGGTTAGTGCATATCTGTAACCGTCACATTCGGGAAGTATTATTAAGTCCAAATGTACATGATCGAATCGCTGATCCAATGGATTGAAAGCTTGTGGCGTAAGTTTATTATGCCTGTTTATTTTTGCTTGTTGACAACTTTGGCACGATCGTACCCAATTCGCGACATCTTTTCGGATTGACGGCCACACGTACTTACTGCATAGTTGTTTTGTCGTTGACTTAGTACCAGCATGTGCTAAGGAGTGCACTGTGTCAAATGTCTTCTTTCGAAGTGATGATGGAATATATGGTCTGATGATTCCTGTTGATACATCACAAAAGGTTGACATATCGGGTTGTAAAAAAAGTTTTTGTAATTGAAGTGCTGAATCTGAATTTAATAGCTGCTTAAGCTCTTCATCTATTTTCTGATGGTTGCTAATCATCTCGAGATCTATAACCGTAGGCATATTAATTGCATCAATTCTGGATAAACTATCAGCCACTATGTTGTCATTACCATCTATGTATGATATGCTTGTTGTAAACTCTGCAATAAAACTTAGTTGTCGTAGTTGACGTGGTGAAACTTTATCTGACTTTTGTTGGAATGCATAAATGAGTGGTTTGTGATCTGTTTGAATTGTAAAATTTCTACCTTCCAGTAAATGTCTAAAATTTTTGATGGCTAAATATATAGCTAGCAACTCTCTGTCGTACGTGCTATAATTCTTCTGCGCTGCCTTGAGCTTCGAAGAGAAAAACGCAACCGGTCGCCAAACATCACCTTCTTGCTGTTCCAGTACTGCACCAACTGCGTTGCTTGATGCATCCGATGTCAATCGAATTGTACTTAATGGAGACAAAAATGTTAATTTAGGTAACGCGGTTACACTTGTTTTACAGTTTTCAAACGCTGCATCTAACGTGGTAGTCCATGTTATAGGCGTGTTGTCGTTCTTTTTTTAATTTTTTAATAGCTCATTTAAAGGTGCTTGTAATTTGGCGGCCTGTGGAATGCACTTGCGGTAATAATTTAGGATTCCCAAAAAACGACGAATTTCTTTTACTGTCTTTGGCTTCGTGTATTCATTAATTACTCTCACTCGTTCTACAGGCGGGCTGATACCATCGACTGATACATCATACCCTAAAAAACTTAGTTGTGAAACTCCGAACTCGCACTTAGCGGTGTTTATGACAAGCTTGGCCTTATTTAGTGTTTTTAGTACTGCTTCTACATGTTCCAAATGCTGCTGTTCACTTTCTGAGAATATTAAAATATCGTCAAGGTAGCAGAAGACAAATGGCATTTTCCTGAACAATGAATCCATATACCTTTGAAAGGTTTGCGTAGCGTTTTTAAGACCAAACGGCATGACTACAAATTCAAATAACCCAATGGGTGTACTTACTGCGGTTTTGCATATGTCATCAGCTTGCATCGGTATGTTGTAGTACGCTCTATGTATATCAATCTTTGAAAATAATTTGCTAGCATGTAGTTTTTCCGTTACTTGGTCTAGGTATGGTATTGGGTACCTATCTGGTTTGGTTTGCGCATTTAGTTTTCTAAAGTCACCGCAGGCTCTCCAAGCACCTGTTTTCTTTTTTACCAGGTGAATTGGACTCGACCACGGACTGTTTGACGGACGAATAATTCCTTGCTCCAACAGCGTTGAAAATTCTTCGCGAATTGCCTTTAATTTTTCCGTTGAATAACGGCGTGACCTTTCATGCACTGGCTGACCATCAGTGACTATTTGATGACAGACTACAGATGCGTCAGGGAGGCTATAGTTATTTGCACTGCACAAATCAATGTATTTGTTGACGATTGTAAAGAATTTTGAATTTGGATCCAATGTGTATACCGAATGTATCGATGTGGTTTCAACTGCACCAGATGACGACAATGTAGTAAGCGGGTCTAATAACCGTCTTGATTTTATGTCTGGAATTAGACCATATTTCGCCAGAAAATCTGCGCCCAAGATTGGACATTTGACGTCTGCTATAATGAAGTTCCAATTGAAACTGCGTCGTAAACCAAGATTGATGCTAAGTCTCTTAGTACCGTACGTTTTAATAAATGAATTATTTGCTGCGAATAATTTTAGTTCATCTGGCACTAGGTTGCGTTTCACTGTGATTGCTGCTAAAGGAATTATGGATACGGCCGATCCGGTGTCAACTAGAAACTTCATATTTGAGATACGATCAATTACATGTAAACGAGCTTCTTCAGTGCAGTGTTCCAGCGCGTTGTCGTTTACTGCACTTGTGGACGACAACGGTTTTAGTTTTCCTTCTGTTTGATATTAGTTGTTTGGCAGCCGAACTCGCATGGTTTTAAGCATTTTGTTGCAGCTGTTCCAAATTTATTGTGATAATAACAGACTTTTCGATCTTCACGCTGACTTTTAGACTGAGTTCTGCTAGAACTGCGAGCCCTGCTTCGCGCCTGTGAGTTTGCTGGTCGTCTGAGCTCTATTGCTATTTCACTTAGTTTACTTACCACTTGTTGCAGAGATATTTCTAACGCTGTCACACGTGCCTCCAATGTTGATTCCTCTGTGTTACTGCGTCGGTTAATTGCAGATGCGGTAGCCATAACATAATGAGGAGTGGGCATATTGTCAGTTATTCTATCTGCCAATTCGGCCATTTGATTAACATCCTTGGAGCTGCACGCAGATAAGATGCAACGAATGTTACTCGGCAATCGCTGCAACCAAAGTGCTGACAAGGCGTCTTCCGACATATTTGACGCTGCCAGATCTCTCATCTCTCGAAGCAACTGCGTTGGACGCTTGTTAGACACGTCTAAATCCGTTAGCAATTTAATCAATTGTTTCTGACGCGACTCCCCAAATCGTGAAATTAATTCATTTTTCAACGTTTCATATTTGCCCGTAGCTGGCGGATTTTTTGCTATGTCTGAAACTTGACGAAGCGTTTCGCCGTCTAGTGCTGTGATTACCGTGTAGAATTTGGATAGATCAGAGGTGATGCGATTGATGTGTAGTAATCCGTCCACTTGAGTAAACCATAACTCCGGGTCAGTTTGCAAAAATGAAGGCAAATTCGTTAACTTTACTGCATCAATATCGTTTTTTACTGTTGTGAAATTCGTGTCTGCTGCTGCTGACTTTGCTGTTGTTTCTTTGTTGGCATTAGACATTTCTGCTTCTTTGTTCAGCATTGCGTCACCCAACATTGTGCAAGTTTGTTTTGACTTTATGAAATAAATAAATAACTTGCGCTGCTTCCAATTATGTGTTTAATTTGCGTCGGGGTCACCAATTATGTGGGTTTTTACCACATACTTTATTTTAAATAAATATAACAAATGTTTACAAAATGATAAAAACGTTGTGTTACTAAAACGTGCAAAATAGGAAGAAGAAGGAAGCCAGTCGCCAGTTACTGAAGTTAGCTGCTCATTGAAAAATGTTCCTTTTGCCCACAGATGGTGCGAGTGCGTGTACATTCACACACAGAGGGCGCTGCAGTATGTGTGGCGAGTTCGCCACATATGTATTATGTTTAGAATATTGATCCTTGTAATAAATTACAATTAAATATAAGCGAGAAATTTACTAACACATAATAAAACTATATTATTGATTATAATAATTATTTATTTTATTTAAAGCATCAATAGTTTTTGTTTCGTACAGTAGCGTCTCCGCTATATATATTTTCGTTTTTTCAATCAATATTTATATATCAGTTGCATCATTAGTGCAAAATAGGACTTAAAAATCTACAGTCTCTTTTCTTAAGCTTACACACACTGTTCCGGTAGGATAAAGACACCACAAGGCTATTCACGCTGATAAGACACGGTACGCTGCGGTACACTCAGAAATGTATCAATTTTTCCATCGCTTCCATTTGTATAAACTTTAAGAATGTCACGAAAAGATCGAAGCTCCAAACCTGTTCTTATATAGAAACATTCTTTTAGACAACCACTAATTGTTTATCATTTTTATTCATCACAATTTTACACATACTATTGAGATAAAGTTAATCTATTTAATTTGTTAAAATAATATAATCCTTTTTTGGCAGTAAGTTAGGTAGTTATACAATAACTCAGTTATCTCTGATTACAAAAGTTTTGTCTTGTAGATATTTTCATCTTTCAATAACATCTAATTTAAGAAAAACCATTCTAATATATAGTTTTTGCACTAAACTTAATAAAAGAATTTGACAGCAAAATTAAAAGAAGACTTATGGCAGAGTTAAAGAAGGGTTAGCGCTAAAGCTTAAGTACCATTCGAGTTCAACGTCAACTCTCGTGCAGTTTTTAGTAAAAACTTTTTACATTAATGTTTTTTATACATATGTATATAGTTTTTTAAGTATATAATGCAATTGAGCAACAAAAAAAAATATAACACATTCGTAATGATAGCAAAAGATGCTGATTTTGCATTTATTTATATGTATTTATAATTTCTTATATATATTCATATATCCATATTTTTTAATAATTTAATACTGCGACAAATTTTTTTTTTGCACTATAATATTAGAATCTATCTTATGCCTGAAATAAAGCTTGAAGATCCATATGAGCACACTAACTGCTCGAAGAAGGGCATCAAATGATCCTCAAAGTTAATATTTTGTTAATTTATTTTTTGTGATGGTGTCCCATTATTTTGCCCACATTGTATCTGAATGTTCAGTACAAATCATACAAAGAATTAGCGCTTTTAGTAAATTATTATTTATAAGTGAATATTATTTACTTTTAAATATTTTTATGTACGTATATTCACATGCATGCATATTTACTGAAAATTTTCCAATCAGCAAAAATCATGTGCAGTTAGCTTTTCGAGCGAAATGTGTGTTATTGTACGGAATTATAAAGAAATGAGCCGCTGTACTAAGTCAAAGCAGCTGTTCTTGACATTGTTTACAATATTGGCCTTACACAGTCAGCATTGTAATTATGGTAGTTGGAGTATTACTTCAGCGACAGTGTATCAGTTTAGTATAGAAGACTGGAACGATAACAGTAAATTGTAGAAAGATCAAGTGCAATACGAAGCTAGTAAATTTTTGTATCAAATTTTGTAAAATTGCTGAACTGCAAGTAAACCGCTGACAATTGTTGCACACATTGCAAATTGCATATGTTTGCCTTAATTAAGCCAAAGGAATTTTAAAGACTGAAAGGAAGAAATATATATATATATATATTAGCATAAAATTATAGTAATTGTGTTTAAAAGTTCTATATTCATAAATAAATAAACGAATTAGTAATATTATGGAGGAACTAAATAGTATACTTGAGAAAACAAAAGATCAATCCACACAGAAAGAACAGGATGAGGTAAACTTTGTCCTTTAATTAAAATATGTGGATTAACTAAATATTTGTATTTTTGTATTTTTTCTTATCAATATGACATTGTTTCAATGTCTATATTTAGATTTTACTGCAGCCGTTTACTTATATACAGCAAATTCCTGGCAAACAATTTCGGTCGCAATTGTCGTTGGCTTTTAACCACTGGCTGCACATACCCACAGAGAAGCTGCATCAGATTGGAGAGATTGTGCAAATGTTACACAACTCTAGTTTATTGTAAGTTAAATAATAAATTAATAGTAATCATCGCTTTTAGCATTAATGTTCATTTTTAATTAATGTATAATATTTATTCATTATAATTTTGAAATACTCATTGACGCCTCACAAGTAACTGCGTCAAATTTTGTCTGTAGATTCTTGTGTAATTTTTTAAATCTCCACAATTAACTTGCCATTGTTTTACTCACTGCTTCCGCTCTGGTTCCTATCATTTCGCACCTAACATTTGCGTTGTAGTTTCTTTAAAAATAAATATTTACTTTATTCGGCACGTCCAGCGCGTTTGTTTACAAAATTCGACAGGGCAGAAAATTAAAAATTTTTTTACAAATTTTTAGTGTTCAAAATTTTTGAAATTTTTACCTTTCAAATCAATAAAATCTTTTGTTTTTATTTCGCAGATTTGTTAAGCATTTTTCTTATTTTTTTAATTTTTTAAATGTTTTGTTTTGTTTTATTTTATGACTCAATATCACTAAATGTAGATAAAATTCTCGCAAATCGTTTGCTAAACCACAAATATTGTTTCGATGTGAATATAATTTTAAACTATAAGCAATAAAAAAAAAAATTAAATATATTAAGAAGAAATTATATATATAAATAAATGAGTTGCTTACAAATTTTGTGTTAACATGTGACATAAATAAATAAGTTGTTCCCTAATTTTGATAGAAATATTTATTATATACACATATTTCCGATGGAAGTAAATATTGTTTATTATTTTTAACAATATGTTCAATAATAAACAATTTAAAAAGTTAAGCTCATAAAGTTCATAAAGTACTTTTAATTATTTTTATCATGTGCTACATTTGCCCATGTCTCTGTTAATTATGCTGCTCTATATCACTTTATTTAAAAGGACCTTTAAAAAATATAAATCTATAAAATTAATAAAAAATATAAGATTTCCTAAGTATCTATTACATTAGATATATTTATTATCCAAAATATAAAACTATAAATTTAATACAATATATAAGATTTTATTAGTTAGTAACTATAATATTTATTTATTTATGAGTTAATATTAAAATTAATTTAAAGTTAACTAAGAATAAGGAACTGGGCTGCTAGATCCTTTGTCCTGAGTATCTATGATATAAATAATGTTATTATTGGTACAACACTTTTCTTATAAGTCTTGGATCAGTGTTTTTTAAGTTGTGCTTGTGCTTAGTCCCACAACAATCGGTCAAAAGTTCCTATGTTTCCCTAAGTAACACATATATGACATACTGTGTTTTTATCTATGGCCCTCGTTTTGCATATAATCCTGCCGACGACATAATGAAACGGAAATCCCTTAAATCAGCATGTCTTTTAACTGTAGCTCCGTTATAAGCATCAATTTTAAGTGTACGCCCAATATAAATTTGTCTCATCGGATATCAGATTACTATCTCTCAGCATAATCTTCAAGCTTACGGGTTCGTTTCATAGAAAAGATCAATCTCAAATTATTTTCCTTTATTCCCTTAAAAACCCTTAATTGGTTCAACAGTTCATTGTTTTCTTAAGACATGCAAATAAATTTAAATATTATATTATAAATATTATAAATCTTCTATTTATTCATTATTATAAATAATATTTATTTGAGAATTGTTTCTATTGTATTGCATAAAAAACTATTGATTCTCTCCGTTTTATTTAGCCATAAGAGCAAAGATTGAATGAATCATCTTTTTCCACTTTAATTATTTAATTTTTTTTGCCGTTACAAATCAGCTTAATTGAATTGTTGATACTATAAATTAAATAAGACTGCTACAAATATATCAAATGATTTATTATAAATATAAACAATTATGTTAATACGGTCAAATAATATTTATTCATTTATTCATTTTTTATACTATTGCTCTATCCATATTGAGATGATTGTTTAGAGTATATAAACTCATTATTTGATTATTATTAATTAATTTCAATTTAATTCATTAGTATTTTTAATTACAATACACATATAGGAAAAATAATTATTATTTTAATTTAAGAATGATTGTAGGATTATGAAAATTTATTATAAAATTTTATTCCGTTTCAAATAAAAATTATAAATTAAATTTAAATTAAATTATAAAATTATAATTATAATTAATTGTATATGCTGATAAATGAGACTAAAAAATTAATTGCGTTTATTGCTATTCTTAGTAGATATTTCCTTGTATGACTATTATTTATAATACTCTTTTATAAAAAAAACTTTATTCAACATAATTTAAATATAATTATATAAATTTTAATTAAATTATAATTATATATGGTAATTAAATTATAATTTGCTGTAATTATATTTATATAATTACAATTATAATAATTGCTGTAATTATATTTATATAATTACAATTATAATTATAATTTAATTATATAATTATAATTTAAATATAATTTATATAATTAT